GTCTCTCGCTCTCTCTCTCTCTCCCTCTCTCTCTAGCTCTCTCTTCTCTTCTCTTCGCTCTCTCTCTCTCTCTCTCTCTCTCTCTCTCTCTATATCTATCTCTCTCTCTCTCTCCTCTCTCTCTCTCTCTATCGCTCGCGCTCGCTCTCTCTCTCTCTCTCTCTCTCTCTCTCTCTCTCCTCTCTCTCTCTCTCTCTCTCTCTCTCTCTCCTCTCTCTCTCTCTCTCTCTCTCGCTCTCTCTCTCTCTCTCTCTCTCTCTCTCTTCTCTCTTCTCTCTTTCTCTCGCCTGTCTCCTCTCTCAACTCCCTCTCTCTCTCTCTCTCTCCGCTCTCTCTCTCTCTCTCTCCTCTCCCTCTCTCTCGCTTCCTCTCTCTCTCTCTCTCTGCTCTCTCTCTCTCTCTCTTCTCGCTCTCTCTCTCTCTCTCTCGCTCGCTCGCTCGCTCGCTCGCTCTCTCTCTCTCTCTCTCTCTCTCGCTCGCGCTCGCGCTCGCGCTCGCGCTCGCGCTCGCGCGCTCTCTCTCTCTCTCTCTCGCTCTCTCCCGCTCTCTCTCTCTCTCTCTCTCTCTCTCTCTCTCTCTCTCTCTCTCCTCTCTGCTCTCTTCGCTACTGGCTTCTGACGGAGTCTGGGTTAGGTGAGCCTGAGTGTGGGTGAGTCTGAGTATGGGTACGTCTGTGTGTGCCTGACTCTGAAGAAATGAATCTGAGTGTGAGTGAGCTTGTGTATGAGTGAGTCTGGGTGCGAGTCTGAATCCCAATGGTGCCCCTGGCAGTGTCTGGCGACTAGGAGGCCCGGGTCGACTCCTCTTTGGGAAGCCAAAATGCTGCCCCTGGCAGCGTTTGGTGACTATGAAGCCCCTGGTGGACCCCCCCTGGGGCTCCCAAATGATGCCCCTGGCAGCGTTTTGTGACCATGAGGCTCTCAAGAGATACATGTTGGGGAGGCCAAACGGCAATTCTAGCTGAGGCGTCCCACCAAAATCGGCGCGAACGGGCTCGTGAGATCAGCCAGGGTGGCTCCCCCTTGGGGCTCCCAAATGATGCCCCTGGCAGCGTTTTGTGACCATGAGGCTCTCAAGAGATACATGTTGGGGAGGCCAAGCGGCAATTTTAGCTGAGACGTCCCACCAAAATCGGCGCGAACGGGCTCGTGAGATCAGCCAGGGTGGCTCCCCCTTGGGGCTCCCAAATGATGCCCCTGGCAGCGTTTTGTGACCATGAGGCTCTCAAGAGAGACATGTTGGGGAGGCCAAACGGCAATTTTAGCTGAGACGTCCCACCAAAATCGGCGCGAACGGGCTCGTGAGATCAGCCAGGGTGGCTCCCCCTTGGGGCTCCCAAATGATGCCCCTGGCAGCGTTTTGTGACCATGAGGCTCTCAAGAGAGACATGTTGGGGAGGCCAAACGGCAATTTAGCTGAGACGTCCCACCAAAATCGGCGCGAACGGGCTCGTGAGATCAGCCAGGGTGGCTCCCCCTTGGGGCTCCCAAATGATGCCCCTGGCAGCGTTTTGTGATCATGAGAGAGCGTGAGTGTGAGTGAATGTGACTGTGAGTGAGTCTGAGTGAGAGTGAGTCTCATCTTATCTTATCGAGTCCTACCTTATCTTACCTTTATTACCCTCTATCTTATCTTATCTTGAAATCTATTATCTTGTCTTATCTTATCTTATATCAACTCATCTTATCGCATCATATCTTGTCTTATCTTATTACTCCATAGGCTGTCTTATCTTATATATTATCCTACCTTGTCATATATCTTATCTTACCTTATCATATATTGTGCTATCTTATCTTATCTTGTAGTATATTATATTGTCTTGTCTTATCTGGTGGTTATCATTGGGAGGAGGGAGGCGCGAGCGGGAGGAAGGAGGAAGGATGAGCAGTGGGAGGCGTCAGAGTAATAACAAGAACCCCAATCCTTAGGATATGGGGAAAAACAAATGAGAATCAAAGATTTTGGCCTCGTGAGGCCATCTCGGAACGCCTCTCGAAGCTCTCTGGGGGGGTTATTGGAAGCCTCTGGGGCTGCTTGGGGGCCTCCTGGGCGCCTCTTGGGGCTCCTGGGAGGTTCTTGGGGCCGACGGCCTGAAAAATCTATTCGGATCTCCCCGTCTTGGGTGCTTGTTGGGCCGTCTTGGGCGGCTCTTGGGCCGTTGTGGGGCCCGCGGGAGGGCATCCTGCGCCGTCTAGAGGCTCTCTTGGGCTGTCATGAAGCTCCATTGGGGTCCTGTTGGGCCGTCTTGGGGCTCCCGTGGGAACCTCCAGGGCCGTCGTGGAGCGTCGGAAAGCTGGAAAAGCGAGAAAGCAAAACACATATTAAAAACCAATGAAAATCAACGATTTTGGCCTCGTGAGGCCATCTTGGAACGCCTCTCGGAGCTCTGTTGTGGCCGTTTCAAAGTCTATAGGGCGGTATGTTTGCCGTCTTGGGCCCATCTTTGGCCACGTTGGGGCCATCTTAACTTTCCTGGGGAGGCTTTTGGAGGCTCCCCGGGGACTGCTGGGAGCGTCCTGGGCCTCTCTGGCGCCTCCAGGGGCGTCCCGGGAGCGCCCCAAGAGCCCCGGAACCCCCATGCGCACCCGAGATCGCGGTCCCGGGCGCCCCGGTCTCGTGCACGGGGGCCCCGGAACCCCCATGCGCACCCGAGGTCGCGGTCCCGGGCGCCCTGGCCTCGTGCACGGGGATATGTATATATATATATATATATATATGTAAATACAAATACATATATATATATATATATATATATATATGTATATATATACACATATATGTATACATGCATATTTATATGTACAAATATATACATATATACAAGTGCAACTATACATATATATATATGTGTATGTACGTATACACACATATATATATATATATATGTGTGTGTATACACACATCCGTTTGCCAATCGCACGAGCCCACTGGCCCCTATCTGCGCCCACGCCTCGGTCTGCGTGTGCATGCTCACTGACTTGGCCACTCCAGTGAGCAGCGGAGGCGACCTTTGTGACCTGTGCTGCACCTGCACTCGCCAGCTGCCTCTACAGTGACAAGCGGTTCCCCTACTCGCTTGCCCAACGAACCCTGAGAGATTCATCTGCAAAATCCGCTGCAGCCCGCTGCAGGCCGGAAAATCCGGAAATGCTGAGAACTTACAAATCTGAAAAACTCACCCCTCACCCGTGCAGAATCCGGCATCACCTCTTCTTGGCCTTCTTTGTTCCCGGGCCCTCTTTCTTGCAACCACCAACGACCAACTCCTTCACCCTCTTGGCCGCTTTGCGCTCCGTCGCATGGTCCAAGTGAAACGAGATGACGAAGGGCTTCAGACACAGAGTGGCACAACACAGCTGAAACATCGCCTCAACTTTTGGCTCGGACTTCAGCGCGAAGATCCAGCAGGGTTACGTGAGACATGTTGGAAGCTCAGTACAAGCATATACATACACACCGTATGTTTATACACATGTGTATATGCACACATACAAGCATGCATTGCTATGTGTAGCTATATGCATATACTTATACCCAAGGTACTAAAACCACGCGCACGCATCGCGCGCTCAGGTTCTAGCAAACCCCAGCCCTCGACAGCAATTCAGCTGTACTTACATATGGACGAACATAATATATGAGCTGGGCAGAAGTTGCGACGTCTAGGACAAGGACACCCTCAAAGGGCAAAGGAGGGAAGCCTCACCACAGGCCCCTTCCTCTTGCCTCCTCCTCCTTTTCATCATCATCCCCCCTCACTCCTCCCACAACTCCGCCGCTCGTTCCTCTGGCCCCCATCATGGCCCGCCCATCGCCAATGCTGCCTCCAACCCCGCATCATGGCCCGCACATCGCCCCTGGCGCCCAGCTGGCCCTGACCCCACTGTCCAGCTGGTCCGACCCCCGCACCGTTCTGCGAACTCTGACTGTGCAGCCCCCCGCCCGACAAAAATTCACGGCCCGGAGCCGACCCTGCCGCCCACCTGGTCACACCCCCGCGCTGTCCTGGGAGCTGTGTGATTGGCCCCCCTGCCTGACAATCTATAGCCTGGACCCCTACCCTGCCGCCCACTTGGTCCGACCCCACACGCCGTCCTGGGATACTTGTCCTTGAGAGCCCCAAAAAGTCAACCTCTCGCCCGGAGCCGACCCTGCCGCCCACCTGGTCCGACCTCCGCACAGCCCTGGAAGCTTCGTTCTTGCGACCCCCCACCCGACAATTTCCCCCACGAACCGACCCTTCCGCCCACCTGGTCACACCTCCACACCGTCCTGGGAGCTCTGATCTTGGGACCGCCCAACCGACAACTTCCAGACACGACCCTGTCGTCCACCCGCTCCGACCTCCTTGAGGTTCCCCAGCTGACAATTCATGGCCCAGAACCGAACCGACCCTGCCGCCCACCTGGTCCACCCCCCGCGCTGTCCTGGGAGCTCTGTTCGTGGGACCCCCCCCCCGACACGTTCTAACCAAGGACCGACCCTGCCGCCCACCTGGTCCGACCCCCGCACCGTCCACGAGAGCTCTGTTCTTGGGCCCGCCCACCCGACAATTTCTCGCCCAGAACCGGCCCTGCCGCCCACCTGGTCCGACCCCCGCGCCGTCCTCGGAACTCTGTTCATGGAACCCCCTGCCCGACAAGTCCTAGCCCAGAACCGACCCCGCGGCCCGACTGGTCCGATCCCCGCACAATCCTAGAAACTTGATTCTTGGAGCCCCCCACCCGACAAAAATTCACGGCCCGGAGCCGACCCTGCCGCCCACCTGGTCACACCCCCGCACCGTCCTGGGATCTTTGTCCTTGAGAGCCCCAGCATGACAATTTCTCGCCCGAAGCCGACCCTGCCGCCAACCTTGGGGAACACCACATCCCAAGAGTCAAAGACATGAAAGCACGCACTTTAGCGATTCCACAACATCATGCTCGGATTACAGGTGCTGGCTTCCTGGAGAGGTAACGAGGCAGAGAGGAGAAGCACAGACCCCGCGGTCAGTCCTCGGGTGCCAGCCCTGTACCTTGCACTTGAAGCAGAGCTTCGCGTAGCAGCAGGGCGTGCGTATTTTCGGGCAGTGCCTCAACCACGCCAGCTGGAGCGTTTGCTTCAGGACGCTGGAGCCTTCTCCCCTCCCTCCCTCGACACTCTCGGCCCCCCGCCCTATCCCCCTATCCCGTATCCCATCCCCTCCCCCTCACATCTCCCCGTCCCCTATGCCTACCCCACCCCCCCGCCCCTACATCCGCACCCCTCACCCAAGGACTCGCTTCAACGCGCAATGACGCAGACAATAGCTTCGTTCTCAGAGCCTGGCTTACAGCTTGCAATTTAGCGGGGCGAGGTCGCGCCAGGCAGCTGAGAATTGACGGCGGCAATGGCATCCGCGTTGCAGGATCGTGCGCACGTGCCCTGACATGACTGCGCACGAATATCTGTCAAACTCGAGGATGGGCATCCGTTCTCCTGACCACGATTGTCCGACTGTTCGGCACCGAGGGTATCGACCATGTCAGAAAAGGGACCCTATGCCGCACCACAGCCAGACCATAGAATGCACCAGAAGTGGTCCCGACGAAAACGGACGAGCAGCATGGAAGCTGTGAGCTTCACTTGGAAGCGCCAGCACATAGCTTGCAGTCTGCCAGGTGCACCACGTGCGCGCCACTCCCGAACAATTTTCGGGGATGGGCAAAACCTCCCCTAGGAAAAACGTGGTTCAGTGAAAACGGCCTCGGGCCCAGACCTGGCGTGCGCAAGCCTGGAACAGGACGGCCGCGACGCCCTCTCGAGAACCGAAAACGCACAATTCACGAATCGACGTGTCAGGGTGGAGGCGTCCCCCCCCCCCCGCAGTCTTTGCGCCTTAGGAGCGCGCGCTCGCTCCCCTGAGTCACCACGCTGGCTGCTGCAGATCCGCGCCCGGTCGCTGCACCCGGGCGCCCCGTGGGCGCCTCGTGCGCAGGCCGGCGTTTCCAGGCCTTCGCGCCCCGGCCGCCCGTGGGCGCCCTCCGTGCGGCGGCTGGCGCTTCCGGGCGTTCGCTCCCGGGCCGCCCGTGGGGCCCTCGTGGGCGCCCTCCGTGCGGCGGCTGGCGCTTCCGGGTGTTCGCTCTCGTCGCCATACGCCTCGTGGGCGAACCACAGCCAGGAGAGCCCAGGATCGGATCGACAAGTCGGATCGGCGATCGACATGAATCGGATCGTCGGATATCGGCAGCTGAGTCGGGAAAAGTCGGATCGGCAGAAATCGGCAGGCTAGTATGCCTCCAATAAGAAATCGGAACTCAAATCGGAATCCCAGATCGAATCGAATCGGAATCGGAAACCATCGAAATCGAATCGAATCGAATCGGAGGAATCGAAACGAGCCCTGCACAGCCCACTGGGCTCGCGGCTCGTTTCCTTGCGGCTCGTGGCTCGCTTCCTTACGGCCGGTGTTCGGGCCCACCGAGGGCGCCTCGCGGGCGCCCTTCGTGCGGAGGCTGGCGCTTCCAGGGCGCCGCCCCGCCGCCGCCCCGAGGGCGCCTCGCCGGGCGTCCAGGGCGTTCGCCCCGCCGCCGCCCCGTGGGCGCTCTTTTCTTTCGGCGCGCCCCGTGCGCC